GTTTGCAAATGTAACGAATTTCTGGTGGGTTGTCTCTTACTTTCCCCTTCGTTCACAGCTTTTTCCGACTTGGACAACCCCCAGTTATTGGGAATAAAAGGAGACCTGGATATTTAGGACTGTAATGTCAATAAGAAAATATGCTCTACTCGATTTTTCTATAAAGCCAAAGAAGGAGTGGAGAGAGAGCACAGCCGTGCAGCAGGTCTGATAAGTGGGTGCTTTGCCTTTCAGCTACAGGGGCTTCTTTCTCTAGCTAATTTCTACTTAGAAACAAAAGGGTTTTCAGAGAGTGTGGAAAGGAGGGGAGCAAATGAAGCTGCAATTTGCATTTTTTGCTCACATAATATTCATGTTCCATTGACTCCAGAAAGGTTCTCTATTTTTCTCGTTACAAATGGAAGCACCTGTTTAAAAATACTTGAATCAATTTTTATTCACAATTACTATTTTTCTCAAACTTGCCTGCAATAGTCAAAGGGATAAATGTTAAAGCCTACTTAGTTTTTTTATAGACTTTGTACTAAATAACTTCAAAGTGTGGCATATTAAGAAAGAACATTATTTCAAGGACCCAAAGGAGTAAATTCTAATGCAAGCTCTGTCATTAACTGTGTGTTATTAAGTAAACCATTTAATATCTTTTGTCTCTATTTCTTTTCCTTTAAAACTGGGGTTTTGTATCAGACAACTTGAAATTTCCCTTCCAGATTTGGTTTCTTCTTTTCTTGTCTTTCTCTCTATGCTTTCTTGTAGTATCTTTCCTTTTCTTTCTTTTAAAATCTCTCTCCTTCCTCCCTTTTCCTTCCTTCTCCTCTTTTTCTTCTCACTCCCTTAGTCTTTTCTGAGCTACACTCTCCAGAAAGTTGAGGTAAGAAGAGTGCTCTGTTTCTCCAGAGAGACAAGGTTTGCAGAAGCCCCACTCATCAACCTACCTTGTGGGCATTGTTTATGCTTTTACTGAATGGAAAGATTTGGGATAGAGGATTCCTGATTTCTCTAGCAATTCTAAATAAATTTTTGGCATTAGCATACCTATCACTATGATTGAACAAATTTCTTTCCCATCATGGCCCATCCTGTCATGGACAGAATAGTCTCTTTTACAGGAATATCTAACCCTTCCAGCTACATTCTCCCAATTGACAACAAGAGCACTCTGATTAGGAGCAACCGTTAGAAAAGATTAGGCATTTAAAAAAATAAGGAGACCGGAGAGATGGCTGGGTGTTTAAGAGCATTCACTGCTTTTGAAGAGGTCTGGGGTTCAGTTCCCAAAACCCTCATGCTAGCTAACAATCTCTAGTACAAGGGGATTTAATGCCCTCTTTGGTGTCCATGGGCATAAGGCATGTACATGGTGAACACATATACATGCAAGCAAAACTTCATACATGTAAAAAAAAATTAAAGATACAAGTGAAAGTCGGGTGGAGGAGAAATAAAACTAGAACCTCCCTTGTGCCTGCTCCCCTGCTCTCACTCTCCCCTTCTCCCCCTCCCAGTAGTACTGTGAGCTGAACTCAGCACTTCATCCATGGCAGGCTAGCATCCAACCACAGAGCTGCACCTCAATCCTCCAGACTCCTTGAAGACATGACAACAGTTCGACTGTTTGCATCTCTTCCTGAAAAATTCAGTGTTAGATACTGGGAAACCATCACAGGAAGTCAGTAGATGCCAGGATGAAAGGGAGGGGTGCATTGACACTTGGAGAGCAATGTAGCTTAGACTGATAGGATTACTGCTGTAAAATATTCCCTATGTCCCCTGCTCTGAGGAGAGTTGCTATGGTTTGTCAAGCATCTGCTTACTACTTTTATTTGACTTTTGCCTCTTTCTTCCTTTTCCTCCTTGATTAGCTTTCATTTTTGCCAAGTCTTTCTCTGGCTTTACAAAAGGAATCAGGCAGACTTGCGTGGATTGGGCACCTTGCTCTTTCCTCTGCTGGGAATCACCTACTGCATTCCGGTCAGCTCTCTCTAGCTTTCCCCCTTCCTGTTTCTCTTCCCTACTCACCTCTTCCACCACCACCTTCTCAACGCCGTCATCCACAGCTTCAGCTGAGATGCCTTCTGGTGGGTCAGCACAGCTCTCTGTCCTTGCCTTTTTTCAGTATGGCTTATCACACCTAACAGGAGAGCTTCCTTTGCAAGAATTCGTTATCATGCTTTCATTTTTAACTTGTCTGTGGGATCCGCTTATTGTGAGTGCTGACAAAACAGAGAATTTCATTGACAAGCATTCATGGTGGATGTCCTACTCACTTATTTTCTCCTTTATGAGGGACACTGTATCCCTCAGTGTCTGCATAATGTCTGTGCTTACTACTTTCCACATTCCTAATGGCATAAATAGATAGATAGACAGACAGACGATAGATAGATAGATAGATAGATAGATAGATAGATAGATAGAAAGAATCCCCATGCATTCCCTTGAAGCTTATGTTCTTGCTCAACCTATTTAACCTTTTTGCTTTCTGGCTCACAGGCTTTAAGGACAGGAGAGATACTGCTGATCCACCTGTTCTCACTGCATCAGTCAGAGACCCTCGCCTGGCACCTGGTTGTCCTTAGCATGAAATGCACGCTACCGCTCATTTCCTAAGACAGTACTAACCTCCCTTCCTCTACATTAAACTGATCTTCATTTTCTGTACAAATGCACAAGTCTCCTCCCCTCAGAAGACAATCATGTGATTCGTCACATCGTTATATTTACACCCTTTGTCTCTGCCTGATAACCATTCTACATCGTGCTGTGTAGAAGAAAATAAGTCGTTATGAGTGGGGAGAATATCTCTGACTGTCCAGATCACTAGATCACTAGTACACTAGAAGACTGTATGGAAGACTGACTGGAACTCATGGCCATGATCATGAATTAAAAAAGGAATGAATGATCTCAGGGATTTCAGGTGTATATTGTGTAGATGATGCGATAAAATGTGGATTTTTTTTATTGTTTATTGCTGAGTTTTCATTTTTAAATGGCTCACTTTTTTTATTCAGTGATGTCTCAGATATATTCTCACATCTAATTTTGCTGCACTAAAGCCTGCAGCTGGGGAAAAAACATTCAGAATTGCTACTGGATGATTTCTGCTAACTCAAGTCATGAGGGATTGAATAATGAATTCAATTTCAAGTACTGCAACATTGTCTAATAAAATGCACCTGTAATATACATGAAAACAGTTTTGATAAGATATACATGGGCACCTTGACACGGCAAATGAATAAAAGGTACATATTTGCAAGGATTATAATGGCTAGGTGTATATACCATATATTTTACATATATGCTAATTACCATGGTATGAATAGCCGATAGTTGATTTCAAGGTATTTTGCAGATGTTAAATCTCTGCAAACATGTGATCATTTTAAATATTTAAAAACTCAATAGCTAACAGCATAGAGGAAAATAACACATTCCAATTGTGATTACTTTAGTAAATGAATAAGAAATATACTTTCTAGGGAGCACTAAAGAGAATGTGGTTTTGTTGTATCTAATTAGATAGTTACTGAGAATATAAGAATCTAATGAGAAACTGCTTTGAATCCACAAATATGGGAACCTTACTGATTATGAAAGCACTGTGTTTGTCAAAAAAAAAGCAAGTTGTGTTGTCTGTATGCAATTGCAAAATAGCATAGTGCTAAAATTTATGAAATATTCATGGTGTAGAATTAAATGAAATTTATTCACTGACTATGCAAAATTATTAATAAATGCATTTAATCTTTTATTTGATCTATTGGAGTCTTTTAGGCTTATCTCGTTATAAGAATGCATAAAGAAAAAACATCTGTTTATTGAGCATTGTGTGTATGGTATGTATATGTGAGTGTGTGCGCATGTGCGTGTGCATGGATATTAAGATGTGTGCAGATACTTGCGCATGTGGAAGCCAGAAGTCCAGAGTGGATATCGTCTTTAATTGTTCTATGCTTTCATTGAAGCTTATTCAGCTAGCCAGGTTTACCAATGTGATTCAGGATCTCCCTGTCCGTCTCCCAAGCACTGAAGTTGAAGATCTGTACTTCTCTAGGTGATTTTGAATTGGTGCTAGAGATCCAAACACAGGTTTTCATGCTTATGCAACAAGAATGTTACTAACTGGGCTACTTCTTCAGCATAATAGAGTACTTCTTATACCCAATATTGTCACATAGTAAGTGATTTGTATGTGTATTATCTTCCTATTCATCTATTCATCCATCTCTCTACATTTTTTTCTACATTCTTTCGTTCCTGGGAGTCAGGTGCTATGTTCCTAGCACTACAATGGGAGAGACTGCAAAGAGAAACCTGCAAACATTAAAGGTAATCAAACCAAATTAAGAACTTGAACTATGCTGGGTGGTGGTGGTGCATGCCTTTAATCCCAGCACTCGGGAGGCAGAGGCAGGCATATCTCTGTGAGTCTGAGGCCAGCCTGGTCTACAAGAGCTAGTTCCAGGACAGGCTTCAAAGCTACAGAGAAACCCTGTCTTGGAAACCAAAGAAAAAGAAAAAAGAAAGAAAGAAAAAGAAAGAAAGAAAAAGAAAAGAAAAGAAAGAAAGAAAAAGAAAAGAAAAGAAAGAAAAAGGAAAAGAAAGAAAAAAGAAAGAAAGAAAGAAAAGAAAGAAAGAAAGAAAAAAGAAAGAAAAAGAAAAGAAAGAAAGAAAAAGAAAGAAAGAAAAAGAAAAGAAAGAAAGAAAAAAGAAAGAAAAGAAAGAAAGAAAAAGAAAAAAGAAAGAAAAAGAAAAGAAAGAA